TTTCCAATGAAGTTTAACCCTTTTTTTATACTAATGGTACTAGTACACTAAATAATTCATATTTATTTAAATAATGCAACTGAAAATACAGAAAATAACATGCACACACAAAGCAAATAATGTCCTATAACTATCATAATTTAACTGGCTTCATCACTCACAAAACAAATAGAACTAGAATTTCTAATCATAAAATGTTACTCTGATGTAAAATAGTCATAAAAGTAATATTCTAAAGTTAACTAAATGAAAGATATAATGATGAAAGCTGGGATTCTATTCAAACACCAAGTTTTCTATATACAAAGTGGGGAATCCAGTAATTGGGATTTTATTCTCCATGTAAAGTCAAGACAGCTTGATCTGTTATGTGATCATGAGCCGATCAAGTGATATGTTCACTTCCATCCCTATCTTGTTTGGTACCTTTTTTTCAAGTTTTGTAGCTAGTCTTATATCGTTTTCCTTATACTAATTGTATTAAACACCGTATCAATAACTCTTTGTGTATATATATATTTAAGTTGTCATTTTCTTATTAACATTTGCCTAATTATTGTATAACATCTCATATAAATAACTGTTGTTATACATGTCTTCTGTTGTATAAACCATATTTGCCTTTTACTTTCTTTTTCAGTTCTGTAAGGTGTGTATTGTCACTATTTTGTGGTCAGCTGACATAAATGTATTGTTTAAACAAGACACTTGACCAACCCATTCCTCTGAGTGATTCATGGAAAATTAAAATTTACCTTTCAGGTTTGTGATAGTTTACTAAATATTGCTCCATGTGGGCAGATATCTATGGGAGAACCAGCTTTTCTGTCAGAAGAGTTCTCTGGAAATCCTGACCCTGATGTTGAATTGGTCAGCACAGCTGGGTATGGCAAAAATGGAGCTCTTTGTATTTTGCAGGTAACTATTCTTTGTTACTTATGTACCTCTGTTACTGTAACTGCAGTAATGTATGTACATAAACAAGATCGGTCATATGTATTTGGTATTTGAAGTTAACAATGTTTTCACACAACCAGCAGTATTTTAGAAGTTGAATATGCTGTTCTTTTTTTACATGTGCTTGATCATTTCTTAGTAAATTAACAATGCTGTTAAATGTTCAGTACCATTTTAAAACTTGAACATCATTATTTATCCATACTAGCATTATGGTCTTTTTTGTTTGTTATTTCTACTGGTGCTATTCTTGTTTGTTTTATAGAAGGTAATAAAGACTGTTTGTTGTTGCAGAGATCAGTGAGACCACAAGTTGTCACTACCTTTGAACTTCCAGGATGTGTAGACATGTGGACAGTGGTTGCACCACCAGAATCACCAGTGCAGGAAGTAAAGGTAACCTGAAATTTTGTAGAAGTTGGAAGAAGTGTTTTAATTATGTGTTGGTCCAACAAAACCACCAGTTCAGGAAGTGAAAGTAACTTGAGATTTTATAAAGTTAGTAGAAGTGTTTTAATTATGTGTTGGTCCAACAGAACCACCAGTGCAGGAAGTAGATTTGAGGTCATCTTGTTTGTTTAACAATGAGAAGAGTGTTCTTTATTTTGTTGGACCCTTAAAAAGTATGGATAAGATTTGAAGGTGACCTGATATTTATTTTACATTAAGAAATTTAAATATTGTTTTTACAAAATCGTTCTGATTTATAAAATGTTATTAAAACACATATTTTTGGAAAATATTTGTTTTTACTTATCATAAAGAAACTTGTTTCATGCATTTGAATATGATTTCTGTAATTTTAAGAATAACTTGGATACCACATCAAAATCGCCGGTAGTTGAAAATTCAAATTTAAGTCGTGAGTTAAAGATCATTAAGAAAAGTGATGTATTAAAAGCATAAGTTACTTCCTGGTGATAATGCTCAAAATCAGGTTTCAATACTAGTGGTGGGCACAGCAAATATAACTCTTTTTGTAGCTTTGCACTTAGCAACAAACAAACAAAATATAATAATAAAGCAGTATTTAATAGTAGGCATAATTATTAAATTGTTTATTACAGGTAGCCCAGACCTAGAATATCTGTTTTTTTTAATGCATTGTCTTTGTCATGACTGGAAACCTAGAAGAAAAAACTGTGTATATTCTTTAAAGTAACCAACATTCTGCTTTGTTGAGAGTATTGACAAGTCTATTCAATATGTTGTTTGTTTTTGTTTGATACACAACCTGGAACTGTGATCAATATGTCACTGCTAAGTGCTTATTCAGGAAGATAATAAAACAAAAGGGATTTTAAAGGGTTAACAAAAATCTCTTGAAAATACCGTATTTTGTTGATAAGTTATTAAAACTAAAAGGAAATAGTGAAATCTTAGTTTTTGTTGGTAATATTTGAGTATGAAATCAAAGACATCATACAGTTAAAAACACAATAAGTTTGTGTTTAAGTGCTGTAGAAGTATAAGTTAAAAATTAAGACCAAGTCATTTTTTGATAATTTGTCCCCAGCCCAGCCCTGCAATTTCCCAAAGTTAGTGCAACAGCCAGCCTTTGCGATTGCTTGGTTGAAAAATTGAGTCAGAAGTGAGTGACATCACTCAAGGTAAACAAGGCCAGTCACAGTCAGCTTCCTCTCAGTGCGTGGAAAACTGTTGGTTTGTTTATGTGAAAATGATTCATTTTTTCTTTTGTTTTTATGAACAAATTTCATTTGACAGATGTGAATACAGTCATTTGTGAGTAAACAACTATGGTTTTTTGTTGTGTTGTTTATGGATGAGGGAACATTCCCAAGGAAAATGGGGTATCTCTGCACAAATTTCCACCTAAGTCAGACAGAAAATGGTACATTGCCTGGAAAAAGTAAGTTTCAAGAACTTGTGATAAATGGAGTCTGTTGAAAGCTGTCATGTATGCAGTGAACACTTTTTGGAATCAGACTTTGAAAATAAACTACAATTTGATATGGGATTTGCAAAAAAAAAAACTGGTGCTATAGAAAGATGCAGGGCCCAGTGTGTATCTGAAGTTCGAGGGAGATCCATCAAGCATGGTGAGCAACAGCCAGGTTCATGCCAGTAGCACATAACACTCTTGTTCACAGACCAGTAACAGCGATGATAGTCGTGTATGATCAGCTGTTCAAAAACGAAAGGTTTTTAGCTAATGATTTAAGTGTAATATAGAATTGTCAGCAACTGTTCGGGTTTTATAAACACCAGTAGATCTGCTGAAACAAAAAATATTTATGAAATTTCATTGGAGATGTCAATATGCAATATAAAAAATGCTAGATCTACAATATCAATTATCCAAATATTATCCCAGCTATGTTTGCTTTTCCAGTCCTAATTTATAATGTATACTTAGTCATATGCATACAAATCAGAGCATGTGCAGAATACAGTATTTGGAGTCCATCAGCTGATATTAGAGCTACATCTAGATATAGATCCATCACTTGAAAAAAACAAATACTGACTGGAATTTACTAATAGATTTACTATATTATTGCCCATATGACCACACTGATGGCTGTAAATTTTGTCCCATTTTCCTAATATTAGCAGTGTAAAACAGTCTTTTATGACATTGTAACATATAACTATTGAAACTATTCCGTACCAAGAAAGATTGGGCAACTGCCAGTCTTCATCCACTTTGGTCAACATTAGACACATTATTGTTTGCTAGCTCTGGTTCAAATATATATGGTGCAATTGACACATTGCATCTTTACCTTGTGTGATATAGGTTTGTCATGTGGTGCTTCCGTTAGTGTTTGTTCAAGCTAGTCAACTGTGACCAAATATGGCTTGGAGCCACATGAGCTTGAGTATTTTGTGACTTTTTTAATCATATTGCTTTTAGTGTGATACGATATACACATTCAAGCACAGACATATACCTTATATATATACTTTATATATATATACTTTAATATACCTGCAACAAAAGTTGTAAAGAACTAGTGGAAGACAGGGTGAATTATCCTTTTTATGGTCAGTAAGGACTTATTCCCTTCTTAGCTAAGTGTGACTTAACCTCTGTGTAGTTAATAGTGATGTGTTCTATCTGTAGTCATTGGTGACTTATTATCTCTATAGTCAATTGTTGACATTTCAGGAAGTTGAAGACAACAAGGAAAAAGATCAAGAGAAAAAAGATTCTGAATCAACTGATGAGGCAAAAAAAGATGAACAGAACTTAGTTAACACTCATGCCTTTTTGATTCTCAGTCGATTGGATAGTAGTATGGTAAGTCAGATGCTATTTTAACAGAATAAGATACACTCTGATCCTGTTATCTGACTAAAGACATGATTAAATTACTTTGATTAAACTCTGGCCATAGTCTTTTTTCAGTCCTAGCTTTTAATTGAAGATTATACCCCTCCTAGTCCAATTTTAAATAAGCTGTAGTGAATTATGACACTAATTTACAACATCTTTTATAAAGTTTAGTGAATTGTACACCACCTTGGTTAACTGTATAAGTTATAAGGTATGGTGAATTGTACACCACCTTGGTTAACTGTATAAGTTATAAGGTATGGTGAATTGTACACCACCTTGGTTAACTGTATAAGTTATAAAGTTTAGTGAATTGTACACCAGCTTGGTTAACTGTATAAGTTATAAAGTTTAGTGAATTGTACACCAACTTGGTTAACTGTATACGTTATAAAATTTAGTGAATTGTACACCAACTTGGTTAACTGTATAAGTTATAAGGTGTAGTGAATTGTACACCACACTGGTATAAAACACTAAACTTGTGATTAAGTTCACTTCTAAAAACATGACCTTTAGTTCTCTTAGTGGAAGAACCAAGAATTACAAGAAGAATAAATTAACTTGTGTGTTAATGTTTATATACAGATACTTCTGTTGACACAGTTAGCATAGTTGAAGATTCTTCTAAAGTTATCAAGGAAATAGAAACTAGAATTTATAGCATTTGAGAAGTAGTTGAGTAATTATAAAAGCTTGGTATTAAGACAATGTCCCACGTTTGAATCAAAACTTTTTAATTATCTAGAAAGATTAATTTTATGGGACAGTGAAACGTTTTAATTGTAACCATTCTCATAGCATGCTTCATATCTCTGTACTTTTTTTATTTTGTATGCGATGTGTACAGATGCATAAAGTGGTACACTCACACTATGTGTTGTTTATAGAGATACACATTTTGTTGTTGTTTTCTAGATTCTTCAGACTGGTCAGGAAATCAATGAACTTGATCACAGTGGTTTTAGTACCCAAGCTTCTACTGTATATGCTGGAAATATTGGAAACAATCGGTACATACTGCAGGTATCTCCCATGGGAGTGAGGCTTCTTGAAGGAGTGAAACAGTTACAGCACATTCCATTAGATGTAGGTTCTCCCATTGTTCTGGCATCTATTGCTGATCCATATGTAATCATCATGAGTGCTGAGGGACTTGCCATCCAACTTACTCTGAGACAGGAGCACAGTGTCTTTTTGGGAGTGTCAAGACCAATGTTAGCTGCAGGTGTAAGTAAGACTCCTGTTTTATGGTTTGAATATGAAATGTTTGTATCAACAGAATTAACATGACATAGGTGTATGGAAGTAGAAGGCTGTTGGTGTTACCAGAAGTAAAACTCCTACCATATTCTGGTAACACCAACAACTTTCTACTTTCACACACCTATGTCATGTAAAACTCCTACCATATTCTGGTAACACCAACAAATTTCTACTTTCACACACCTATGTCATGTAAAACTCCTACCATATTCTGGTAACACCAACAACTTTCTACTTTCACACACCTATGTCATGTAAAACTCCTACCATATTCTGGTAACACCAACAACTTGCTACTTTCACACACCTATGTCAATATGGTAGGAGTTTTACATGACATAGGTGTGTGAAAGTAGAAGGTTTTTGGTGTTCCAAGAATGTCGTTGACCTGCAGCTTACTGAACATGAGCTTCATTCAGTACATGCATCAGGTTTGTATGTGTTTTTTTCCTAGAATGTAACATATTTCTACCATGAGTTAATAGAATGAATAATTTTTTTTTAAGAAACTATATATTTCAGGGAGTACATTTGTGACTCAAAGATCTAACTTGACATAAAAATGTTGAGAACATCTGATCTAAACAGTGCTCTGACAAATGTACACTTAAGATTTGAAGTAAAGTTCTGCGAGTTAATGGGGTAGCCCAATGATTCTCAATCAATGGGCCATGAGTCATTCAGTTATTAGTCAGGACAACTGTGACAGTCTTAATCGAATGAGTCATAAACTGCATACATGACCTTTTACTGTTGTGTCAAATAACTAAGTGAGTCTTGAGGTGCAAAAGGTTGAGAAATGCTGGAATAGCTAATATTCCAACAGTTATGGTCATATTTCCAAAATTCTTTGATGGTTTCAATGACTGTACCTGATAGTGTAGTGATGATTTTAATGATTCTGTGACTGTTTCTGTTAGTTATTATTTCAATAACTTTGTGACTGTTCCTGTTGGCAATTATTTCAATGGTTTTGTGACTATCCTTAATAATGATTGTTTAAATTACTTCATGACTATACTTGATGATGATTGCTTGAGTGAGTTTGTCTAATGGTGATTGTTTCAATGATTTTGTGACTGTCCTTGATTGATGATGATTGTTTCAGTGATCTTGTGACTGTCCTTGATTGATGATGATTGTTTTAGTGATCTTGTGATTGTTTCAATGATCTTGTGACTGTCACTGATGGTGGTTGTTTTAATGACGTGATTATTTCAAGGATTTTTACTGTGTATGATGGCGATTATTTGAGTGATATTATGACTGTCCCTGATGATGACTGTTTCAGTAATCTTGTGACTGTTCTTGATTGATGGTGATGTTTCAATGATCTTGTGACTGTCCTTGATTGATGGTGATTGTTTCAATCATCTTGTAACTGGCCTTGATTGATGGTGATTGTTTCAATGATCTTGTGACTGTCCTTGATTGATGGTGATTGTTTCAATCATCTTGTAACTGGCCTTGATTGATGGTGATTGTTTCAATGATCTTGTGACTGTCCTTGATTGATGATGATTGTTTTAATGATCTTGTGACTGTTCTTGATTAATGATGACTGTTTCAGTGATCTTGTAACTGTCCTTGATTGGTGGTGATTGTTTCAATGATCTTGTGACTGTCCTTGATTGATGATGATTGTTTCAATGATCTTGTGACTTTTCTTGATTAATGATGACTGTTTTCAGTGATCTTGTGACTGTCCTTCATTAATGATGACTGTTTCAGTGATCTTGTGACTGTCCTTGATTGATGATAATTTTTTAAGGATTTTTAACTTTGTATGATAGTGATGTTATAACTGTCTTTGATGGGGATTGTTTCAAATATTTTAAACTTTGTATTTTAGTGATTTTGTCAATGATGTTATAACTGTCTCTGATGGGGATTGTTTCAAGTATTTTAAACTTTGTATTTTAGTGATTTTGTCAATGATGTTATACCTGTCCCTGATGGTGATTGTTTTAGTGATGTTATACCTGTCCCTGATTGTGATTGTTTCAAGGATTTTTTAACTTTGTAAGATAGTGATTTTGTGAATGATGTTATACCTGTCCCTGATGGTGATTGTTTTAGTGATGTTATACCTGTCCCTGATGGAGATTGTTTCAGTGATTTTTGACTTTTTATGACGGTGATTTTTTGTTACTGCTTCTGATAGTGATTGTTTCAGTGATTTTGTGACTATTCCCATAGAAATCTAAAATTGTTACACTCTGCCTGTACAAAGACATTAGTGGGCTCTTTAATACAGCACCTCGACAAGATATTAATGAAGAAGTTCAGCAGAAGGTATCTAGTGCAAGAAGTACTGAAATTAGAAACTCTTTCACATTTGAAACAAGGTAAGGATTATTTATAAATATTGCCTAAGTTTTTGTATTGCCCCCCATAACTCTTGTAAAAATTTGTTTTGGCTCATAGCTTTGTCTAGTCACATTACTACAGATATTGCAAACCTACTTAGGAGTAGTACTTTATATCTTGCATAAGAAACATTTGGTATGTTTATGAAATCTTCAATGCTTGAAGCATTTTACTGTTTCAGAAGAATGCTTGAGAAATAAAAGTGGTCTGTTTTAAATGTGATACTTTGTAAAATTTTAATATTATTATTATCATCTGATTATCATTTTCTTTTTTAATGTTTAAATGGGAATTTTTTGAGAATATTTTCAAATGGACTAATGAAATTCTTATTACAACATTTAATTCTCACTTGTTTTCCTGTGTAACCTTTATAGGGAGAGAGGGATTAAGAGAGGGCTGGATTTTATTTTAACTTGATGTAAAATGTTAATCATTGGTTTGGTTAGGTATTCTTAAGTACAGCTTTATAGACATATTCATTTCAATGGAAGAAAATCTTAATCAGTGTAAAAAACTATTTAAATTTTTTTACACTATATGTTGTAAAGTTTCTGAAAATATTTTAGTCCTCTTGCACTTTTTCACACCCTCAATTTATTATTTATATATTTAGTTTGTTTTTTTAACTGAACCTTCGATCTCAGCAGTAAACTGTGTATTTGATCTCTAGATGGTCTAATTATTTATTTTTATATTACTAGTTCCAAAATTTATAAATTACAAAAAATAAACATCTTTCAAAGCAATATCTTGAAAGATTTGTTACCAAATTGATGTTTCTTCCCTTGTAATTAGCCAGTTATGTAAAACATGAATTGACTAGCTCATCTGCATTGTATCATTTTGAATATTGCCCTCCATCATTTTCTCCTCAACTTTGGGAAGTGATCAGTATCTTGGTTACTCCCATTTCTGTTTTTGTGGAACAGAAAGCTCTTGCTTGCCACTAGAGCTGGGTAATTAGTGGCATTTCCTAATTGATTGGTTGTCAGGTTTATTAATTGATTATTCACATACAAGATTAATCTTCTGGTTACTCTACAAAACTACTGAATTTTTATCGATGAAGATAAACATTACTTCCTAATATTGATTAAAATTCAGAAAACGCAAACTATGATAGTGACTTTTGAGGTTACTGTTAGGTTATCATGAGTTACGTATAATTAGTTCTTAGGATTGAGTTAACAGTTTTATAAGAAAGCAACTATATTGAGAACATACATAACTACATATAGACGATCAAGCACCTGGATACTTCAGGTACTGTACAAAGGAACGATAAACTTAACAACACATCCCACTTTCACTTGTTAAAGGTAAATGAGGATCAGAATATCATGGGTATAAAATAAGCCATTATTTTGAACACAACAATATTCTAGGGCAAAGTGAGCCAACAATTTATTGTTTTGAATCCTGTGTCTATTATGTTTATTTGTCATGGCACGTTAGGCCAATACTGTGTGCAGTTTAAGTTTATAGTATTGATGTTGTTTATAACATATTGGCATCATAGATACATCTTATCCAACTTAATTACCAGGACTAGACTATAGCAGAAAAATTGATGGTTGGGCCTAAGTGATTCTAGAAAGTTATCAATACTCCCAGTTGCTTACCTATTCACATGTATGAAGTTCTGTATTTGTTAGGATAATGCATAGAAATGTGTAACAGTTTACGTTTTCACACATTTTCAATTCCATATTTGTTAGGATAATACAGAGAAGTATGTAGTAATTTATGTTTTCACCCTCGTTCTGTTCCATGTTTATTAGAATTACAGATAGAAATATGTGGCAGTTTACATTTCACATATGTTCCTTTCCATATCTGTTAGAAGAATACACAGAAATGTGACCCTATTTGAATAGTAAATTGTTCGTTGAAAATGTCTAAACAGTGCTAAATTTAGATTAAAACCACTTAAGTGATTGCAATTTAATTTTATGAATACATCCACATCAAATGAGATGTTTGTTTTGAATATATAAAATTAATAGTGTTTTTTTCATTATGGATTGTTGAAACAAAACAAATCTTTTAAATACGTTATATCCTAATATAAAAAGATAATGTGAGAGAAGTATTTTTCATATGTTATCAAAGTCTTATATGAAAAGTAAACAAATATTAACTTAGAAATAAAATCAGGTTAATATTAAGATTGATAAACATTTAACAGGAAATGCGTTAATATACATTGAAACTTCCGGGAAGCTGATAATTTGTGTTAGGAGTTAACCTCAAGAAACCTATTGGTTATTACTTTGACATAACCTCCAGAAAACTATTGATTTGTGATAGGAGTTAACCTCAAGAAATCTGTTGATTATTAGTCTGAGTTCACCTCCAGAAATCTCTTTGAGTTAACCTATATCTATTGGTTATTACTTTGAGATAACCTCCGGAAAACTGTTGATTTGTGTTAGGAGTTAACCTCAAGAAATCTGTTGATTATTAGTCTGAGTTCACCTCCAGAAATCTCTTTGAGTTAACCTATATCTATTGGTTATTACTTTGAGATAATTTCCAGAAAACTATTGATTTGTATTTGGAGTTAACCTCAAGAAATCTGTTGATTTTGTTTTTGGAGTTAATTTCCAGAAATCTATTGATTAGTACTAACCTTGAGATACAGTGAAGTATAATTGATGTTGTTTGTTTTAAACTACTGTATAATGTATGGTATAATACTGTTTATCATGTGTCAATCACAAAATATGTTAATCAATATTTTTCAATATATATAATCAGTAAACACTTGTATATAAAGCTCATATAAATATAGTCTGGCTATCCTGAAAGTTTTAAGGTTGGTGTATCTAGGAAACCAGTTATAGTAATATTACATTATTTACACAATATGTTAAAGACATTTTCTTCCCTGTAAAGAGCTTATCTACAAACACATTAAATTTATATTTAAATATGTTTTGAGAAAAATAACTATTTCATTTTAAGAATGTCATTTTTATAACTAAGCAGTTTATCCCCTATAACTTCACCAGTTTGTACTGTATGGATGAATGTACAAGCTGGGAGCTAGTCAACCTATCTTCTATATAAATAAAATAAGAGTTTTGTCTGTACATTGCTTAGAATAGTGTACTTTTACCATACCGCCCCGTTTCATACACCAAACAAGCCGAAACAAGCCTTATCTCAATTTTTGTC